AGATGCAGATGGATGAAAACAGATCTAAACTGATGTAAAAGGATGAAAAAGGTATTAAAAAAACAGACAAAAAACAGATGTAGATGGATGAAAACGGATGTATAGGAATGAAAAATGGATGTAGACGGATGAAAAACGGATGTAGAAGGATAAAAAACTGATGTAAACGGACAAAAACCGGATGCAGATGGATGAAAACGGATCGAAATGGATAAAAAACGGATGTAGAAGGATAAAAAAACAGATGTAAACGGACAAAAACCGGATGCAGATGGATCGAAACGGATGAAGGATGAAAAACGGATTAAAAAACAGATGTAAACGGACAAAAACCGGATGCAGATTGATGAAAAAGAGATCTAAACGGATGTAAAAGGATGAAAAAAGTATTAAAAAACAAACAAAAAACAGATGTAGACGGATAAAAATGGATGTATAAGAATGAAAAAAATGGATGTAGAAGGATGAAAAACGGAATTAAAAAACAGATGGAAAACTCATCTGTTTTTTTTTCTGTGAAAAAAATGTGACTGAACTGAAGAAAAAAAAAAATGGAACGTCCGTGTGAAAGGTCCCTAACTTACATTCATACATACACATACTAGGGCCAGATTACACAGGAGCCAATTAACCTACCAGCATGTCTTTGGAGTGTGGGAGGAAACCGGAGTAGTACCCGGAGGAAACCCACACAGGCACAGGGAGAACATGCAAACTCCAGGCTGGTGGTTCAGTGATTGGGATTTGAACCAGGTTACTGCGTTACCTCTGTCGGTAGTGTGAGAACTAACATTTCCTGGGAAGCAAATACACATCACACAATCCCTGGGTCTCCCAGTCTAGTGCTCTGCAAGTGACAGTTAAATAGTAATTCCATCTGCTGCAAACAGGCTGAACAATGACCAAAGAGCTTACACTTCAATGAAGAGATTGGTGAGTCCTGGATTGGATGCTGTGTGACCCCCAAACAAGAAGTCGCCTGTCCCTGGGGACAATCAAGCTGAATAATACATGGATGTCATCAGCCATGACACTACAAACTGCAGCCCCAGCCTGTGAGTCCATCATTACAATACGGCGCTGCGTTACTTTAACTGACAATTGCGCGGTCATGCTACGCTGCACCCAAATTAAATTTACGTCCTTTTTTCCCCACAAATAGAGGCAGTCCAGTGCAGCCCCCAGTCACGTCAGTGTCCATCAGTGCCAACAGTCAATGTCCATCAGTGCCGCCAGTCAGTGTCCATCAGTGCCGCCAGTCATCAGTGCCCATCAGTGCCGCCAGCTAGTGCCACCTATCACTGACCTTCATTGCAGCCTCATCAGTGCAGCCCAGGAGCGGACTGACAAAACTCATGGGGCCCCCGGGCAATAGGGGATCATGGGGCCCCTGTGTCCTTGCCCAAACTCAAAAAAAAAGCTTATGAAAAAGGTACCAGGGGCATCTCATGGGGCCCCCTACTGACCCCGGGCCCTCGGGCGGTGCCGAGTTTCCAAATGGTCAGTCCGCCCCTGATGCAGCCTATCAGTGCCCATCAGTGCTGCCTATTGTTGTCTTAACACTTATGAGGTCCACAGAAACAGTTCATAAGACAAATCTGTTGTCTTATATTAATGTGGAGGATGTATATATATATATATTACAATATTCCTACACCTATCAGTGCAGTTTATCAGTGCCCATCAGTGCAGCTTATCAGAGCCCCATCAGTGCAGCTTATCAGAGCCCATCAGTGCAGCCTATTAGTGCCCAATCAGTGCAGCCTATTAGTGCCCATCAGTGCAGCTTATCAGAGCCCATCAGTGCAGCCTATTAGTGCCCATCAGTGCAGCCTATTAGTGCCCCATCAGTGCAGCTTATCAGAGCCCATCAGTGCAGCCTATCAGTGCCCATCAGTGTAGCTTATCAGAGCCCATCAGTGCAGCCTATTAGTGCCCATCAGTGCTGCCTATTAGTGCCCATCAGTGCCGCTTATCAGAGCCCATCAGTGCAGCTTATCAGAGCCCATCAGTGCAACTTATCAGAGCCCATCAGTGCCCATCAGTGCAACTTATCAGAGCCCATCAGTGCAGCTTATCAGAGAGCCCATCAGTGCAGCTTATCAGAGCCCATCAGTGCAGCTTATCAGAGCCCATCAGTGCAGCTTATCAGAGCCCACCAGTGCAGCTTATCAGAGCCCACCAGTGCAGCTTATCAGAGCCCACCAGTGCAGCTTATCAGAGCCCATCAGTGCAGCTTATCAGTGCCCACCAGTGCAGCCTATTAGAGCCCATCATGCAGCTTATCAGAGCCCATCAGTGCAGCTTATCAGTGCCCATCAGTGCAGATTATCAGAGCCCATCAGTGCAGCTTATCAGAGCCCATCAGTGCAGCCTATTCGTGCCCATCAGTGCAGCTTATCAGAGCCCATCAGTGCAGCCTATCAGTGCTCATCAGTGCAGCTTATCAGAGCCCATCAGTGCAGCTTATCAGAGCCCATCAGTGCAGCTTATCAGAGCCCATCAGTGCAGCTTATCAGAGCCCATCAGTGCAGCTTATCAGAGCCCATCAGTGCAGCTTATCAGTGCCCATCAGTGCAGCTTATCAGTGCCCATCAGTGCAGCCTATCAGTGCCCATCAGCGCAGCCTCATCCCTGCACATCAGTGAAGGAGAAAAATGACCCATTTGCAAAATTTCAGAACAGAAACTAAGAAAAATCTGGTGATTGAATACCACCAAAAGAAAGCTCTATTTGTGTGAAAAAAATGACAAAAATGTAATTTGTGTTGCATGACCGCGCAATTGTCATTCAAACTGTGACAGCACAGGAAGCTGAAAATTGGCCTGGGCAGGAAGGGGATGAAAGTGCCCGGCAGGCAAGTGGTTAAGTAAATTTTTATAGCCAGAAAAGGCGATTTTCATGTGCGGGGTCCGGGGAGAGAGCGGATATAGTGAATGCGGGGGTCCGGGGAGAGCGGATATAGTTAGAATGCGGGGTCCGGGGAGAGCGAGAATACCAACGCGGGGATATCAAAGAGGTGAGTGGGGATTTGTGTGAAATGGTGCCAAGGCACGATGTACTATAGGATGTTGCATGACCGCGCAAGGGTCAAGGGGTGAATCTTATGAAACTGTGAAATTGCAGCCTGTCTATTAGGAGATAGGAGTTATTAATGTGCCCTTAAAACAGTCAAGTCTATTGTAATGAGTTTAGCCATATGCATCTAAAGGATCACGGTTTGAAAATGTTAATGTAAATGATGCAAACTGCTCGGGGGTCGCGAGGGGACCGGAAATTCTCAGCGAAGTCATACGGTAGTGAACTTGACGGCCCTGGGGATACTAGCTTGTTTTAGGAAATGATGGACATGGTCAGGGGATGGGGAAGTATGTGAACCCAACCCCAGAAAGTTTATATAATTGGTCTTAGCCCGAACTTTGCGCCTTCTGCATAGAAGGTGTATCATTCTCAGTGTTCAATGTGCCATTGCTATGATAAGGGATCAGATATAGTAATAGGGAGAGCCGCGTGAACACAAGCACTGTACACGGTTGGAGGTATATGACATGTGCATGCCATTATGCATGTGTAGCCCTAAGAGGTCGAGCGTCCTGAGATACTCTCACATATGAGTACACACCACTTTTTTGGTATTTAACTCTTCGATACGGATTGGGGGGGCGATTGTAAGGTGAATATTGAATGAAAAGTTGAGTCTGCTTGACAATTGAATATTAAAAATATCTAACAGCCATGAATTCAGCTTGTAGAAAGGTGTTAAAATTTCACATGCTGCTTAATGTTTGTTCTGGAAACCCAAAATGCTAAACACAGCTGTACATAACAAGCGCACAAGCAAATACCAAAGGTCACCTGCCGTAACACACTGCAGACAAGTGTGAAGTGGGCATAGTGTAGAACTTGTGTAATTCTGTCCATCTGACCTGTTTGATCCTGTCTATCAAGTCTGATCTCCTACTTGTTTCCTATGAAGGATCACGATGGCTGATAGCTACAAGCAACTTTCGTTGCAGGTAATACACATCTCTGCCGCATCATTCATAATCAGAAGGTGCAGGCCCTGGAAAGAAGTAGCATTCGTTTGGTGGAAAGTGATGGGTGCCCAAGGATGGGGAATGTTGCATGTAACACAGTATATAAATATGCGCTGTCTCCAGCCAGAATTCAGGACTTCCATAGATAGGTGTGAACATTTCAGGGTTATTCAATGAATATCTTCTGGAAACAGATGCCCTAACAGTCTTATGGGAACTCAATCTAAATAGGATCATTAAGTCTGATTGAATAAGATTTACGGAAATTGTATTTACCTGCATAAGAATGTGTAATTCTGTCCATCCGGTCCTGCAGATTTACAACAAGCTCTGCCACACAGCACAATGTTGATTGTTCTAGGCAGAATGCTAAGGATTATCCTCTGTAACAAATTCCAGTATAACTTAAAATGGTAACAGATGTAAAAAGTTGTGTGTGGTAGAGAACTGGGCTTAATGTGTTCCTAAACCCAACAACGCAGTACAGGCCTGTATATGCATGAAGCTAAGCTGCATGGTAATATCTCACTGTGGAACCTAAGGGGTTAATGCATCCGCATAGTGTAAAAAGGGCTGAATGAACCTGTTTTCTCTGGATCCTCCCCTTCTTCTACAAGTATTTGAGGATAATCCCATCTGCATGATTGTACAGAGTCCTATGAAGCACTATGCACATGCTCAGTTTCTGCTGTAGTATTGGAAAAGAGATTGATTTGTTGTTTTTTTGGGGGGGGGGATTTTGTGAAATGCGGGGTCGGGAGTGCATGTGATCATATACAGGTAAAATCAGCGCTGTCCAGACAGAAGGTCTTAGGGAGTATAGTGCAGTATCTATAGGACAATCAGGGAGAATGAATGATAACTCCTCTTAGTAAGCTTTAGAAACATTTGTGCTCAGCTGTGACACTAAGGAATAAGGATGCTGTAATGTTGTTCAGATTTAGCAGTATATGATTTAGTATAAGACTGTGGAATGTGTCTGTGTACTGTGGTCGAGTCCAGTATGGTGAAGTATAGGGTTAGTGGGGTCGGGGACCGTATGGGGGATATGCAGGGTCCCGGGGAGGAGCGGATATCCAGTGAAATGCGGGGGTCCGGGGGAGACGTGATATAGTGAATGCGGGGTCCGGGGAGACCGGATATAGATGGAATGCGGGGGGTCCGGGGAGACCGGATATAGTGAATGCGGGTCCTTCGGGGAGACCGGATATAGTGAATGCGGGGTCCGGGGAGACCGAGTATAGTGAATGCGGGGTTCCGGGAAGACCGGATATAGTGAATGCGGGATATGTGTGTGTATGCGGGTGAGAGGAACGGATATAGTGAATGCGGGTCCGGGGAGACCGGATATAGTGAATGCGGGTCCGGGAGACCGGATAAAGTGAATGCGGGGTCCGGGGAGAGCGGATATGTGAATGAAGCGGTTGTTACGGGGAGACCAGATTTATCGTGAATGCAGGGTCCGGGTAGATTGGATATAGTGAATGCAGGGTTTTCCGGGGAGACCGGATATAATGGGGGGGAGGGGGGTCCGGGGGGCCGGGGCGGGAGTGGGTGGTAGGTCCGGGGAGACCAGATTTATAGTGAATGCAGGGTCCGGGGAGACGGATATAGTGAATTCAGTGGTCCGGGGAGACGGATAAGTGAATGCAGGGTCGGGGGACCGGATTATAGTGAATGCAGGGTCTGTGGATTGGAGACCAGATGTATAGTGAATGCAGGGTTCCGGGGAGACCGGGATATCGTAGAATGCGTGGGTCGGGGAGACGGATGTAGTGAATGCAGGGTCCTGGCAGCGGAGTTATATGAATGCGGGGTCGGGGAGACCGAGATATAGTGAATGCAGGGTCCGGGTGGAGACCGGATATAGTGAATGCAGGGTCCTGGCAGACCGGATATTGTGAATGCAGTGTTTGGGGGGAGCGGGTATAGTGAAAGCAGGGTCCGGGGAGAGGGGTTTTAGTGAATGCAGGGTCCGGGGAGACCGGATATAGTGAATGCGGGTGGGGGGAGGGTTGG